ATATTTTAATAAATATCAGTATTTAGTCTACAAGTTTTAACAGTTTCAAACATAGTTCAGTTAATATTTGTTTACTTATTTCTTTGTTCATTTACTTATTTTGTGTCTTCTCTTCTGATGATTCAGAAGCAGAACTGAATTATTTGCAGAAAGATTATTGGAAAAAATAATAAATAAATTAGAGGCTTTTTTTACCTTAATATTAGTTCTTTTAATATTTTGCATACGTTTCATAAAAACAAGTAATATTTCTCTTATTTGTTTTCTTGAATTGGATTATTCTGTTCTTTGCATTTAAACCCATTCTTTAGTACTGTTGCAACATTTTTTTTTTGGTCTCTCAGTTGCTTTTTTCTCTTTTATTCTCTTTTTATTTTTATTTTTTTACGTCACAGCTATTGTAAATGAAAATTTTATGTTTTATATGAGCATTTGAAAAATTGGAAATGAACAACTGGTAAACTTATCAGTTGTTTGTAAGAATTAAGAGGATTTGATTATGTGGCCTTTGTTATTTTCAGCGGTATACTGGCAATTCGATTATCATTTTATCTGAGCTTTGCTGATAACATAACGGTGCCAGTGATAAGGCTGTATAACTTTCTCCTCAGCCTTTACACTGTTTGCATTTGTAAATATTACGGTCCTTCTCATGCATTTCACTCTAATTTTGCTCCTTAATCAGCAGTACTGTTGAGTTAAGCAGTTTGGTAAGAATCGATAATAAGAGGAATGTTCGTTCAGTGTTTAAAACGTAATACACATTTAAAATGCATACAGTTATTGATGTGGACATTTTTTTTGTTTGCCTCTGTTTTTAGAAACCACTCAGCTGCACAAGGTCGACTGGATTGTAGGACTAAGAAAAAAAGGTACTCAAATAGTTTTAATTAGCAACACGTCGCTTATACGCCAAACTGTCAATTTTACTTAATTATATCAGTCGCAGTGATAAATTTAGAAAATTTTTATTTTTTCATTTTGACATTTTTCGATATATTTTTTGCAGCGCAGAATCTTCAGAATTCATTACCATTGTAAATATCATTTGTTAATTGATTAAACAAATTGAGAACTGAACTCTTTTCTTTATCACAGGAAATTCATGCAGCACATTGTAGAAGGAAATTAATTTTACGGATCATCTTAAACTGTTTCATAATTATCAGACTTTGTTATAAGCTTAGGGTAATTTTTATGTCAACAAAAGCTGTTTTCTACCACTTGCTTCCGTCTCGTATATGAACATTTAGTCATTGAATTTTTTACGTTTGCCAACAGTACTGGAGCATTTGATAACTATATATAATATGACGAACTAACAGTTTGCAAAAGTTCAGCTTTTTCCTTCCAATTTAATCACACCTTGATTTAATTTCTTTATAATTTTTGTTTCATTGGTTCTTTTACGGCCTCTACGCTGTCATCTTCGTTTTCGCCATCCTTCCTTTTGCCCCTAATTTCCGTCTATGAAATTTGTGTGTGGCAAGGAAAAATAGTAGAAGGGGAGCACCATGAGTCAAAAAGATATTTATAAACTTCATTGTCAGTTTGTCCATTTTTTTATGCTGATGAACTGTGTGAGCAGTAGCTTCGACTTTTGCACCAGGAATGGCATCTGTAGCAACCCAGAGCCATGCAGGGTTCAGCCACGTACCACAAACACATCGTTAACAGTAGTGGGCAGGAAAAGCTGTATGAATGCAATGGCTCTGGCAAGAAGCCAGGCCCAAATGCTTACGAGTTTGGTGGTTCAAAAGGACCGAGGAAGTTATAGTGTGAAAGTGAAATTTTCTTGAGACTTCAAGTGTCGGCACTCAGCAAGCTTGTGGTTCGTTGCGTAGCTCGAGGATGACCAAAAAGCCGAATTGGGCCTTATATTTTGTCTAACCAGCCACATACATTTGTCTACTTTTTGTTATATATATATACATCTATTTATAATGTACCTGATGCCACCTAACAGAATGTTTTTCGATTTTTTAAAGTATTTTTGGCTTGAAAAAGCTCAAAGTGGGAAGGGGATAGAAAAGAAGGCGGCGTTTTTAATTCACACAAAGCTTTGAAAAACGAATGAGCTATGTAATGTACATATATATATTTGCGTGTGCGATACGTTCAACGCCGGACCTTCAACTCTTTTTTATTACTTTAGTTTCAGTTTTAGGTAAATGTACGCTCGGGATGCCTAAATCAGAGCTGTGCTGCAGTAAGAGTCCTAGTGGAGTTGAATTGTTTTCAAGGAGATCAGGTTAGGACTAGTTCAGTTGCAAAAAAAAAATTTTGACATAATATTTGAGGTTTAAAAGAGTAATCAAAATGAAAAGGGAAAAATCTGGCTCGTAGAGTAGTTCAGAGAAGTAGTTTAGTTTTCTTCTATTTTGCTTTTTCCGCACTAATAGTCTTGATAAGGTAAACATGCATTTTACTTCTAGTACTAGCGGAGTAGATGTGTGGATCGTTTTAAGTCAGGGTTTTGTAAAGAAAAAACTATGTATTGTTTTCTGCATAAACAGTTTTCCTTTCTACCACTTGTATATTAAGGAGGGAAATTTTGATGCTGAAATGTATTAACTTAATGGATGTCTCATTATTTTACCTCCTGTTTTCTTCTTTTTGTAACTGACAGTAATCTTAATAGTACATTAATTAGTGTCTTTCATAACGTTGGAAGGTATCTGGTTTTAAAGTTTGATACTATTAATAGTTTAATTTTCAGTAATCATTTATAAGTGTAATTGACGCCTTTTCTTTATGATGGGTAGCTAAATTTTTGAAATTTTTAGAACGGCAAGAACGTGCTCAGAAAAACACGTTTACAAAATGGATTAATTTTTTGCTGGAAAAGGTAAGTTTTTCATGCGCCAATTTTTAGCAAGCATTGAGTAGATAGCCAACTGGACTGTAACTTGGGATAAACTGAATTTATTTTCTGAGTGCAATTAAAAATTAGTTCTTTTTATTTCAGCATAGTTCATCTGGTCAAGTAAAGGATTTATTTGAAGATCTCAGAGATGGAGTTTTGTTGTGCCATTTGGTGGAAGTGTTAACCGGTGAAGCACTGGTTAGTTTTGATCATTATATTTGTTTTTTTGTATGAGAAGGCACACTTTGTTCTTCTCACTTTGCCAGCCTTTTTCAATTTTCTTAAAGAAAAAAACACATTATCATTTCTTTTTTTCCGAAATATCTATTGTTCTTTCAGAAGTTTTGGCTGAAGTTAATTAAGGTCTTATTAAAGCTTTTGTTACCTTTTATATTAGCAAATGATATTATGTTTTTGTAATATGTTACATAGACCGTCGTGTTAATCACTGTTTGATACTGTTTGTTACTTACAGCGTATTTACCAATTTGCCAGTATATTTTATATTGGTTTTTTTACGAGTTAGTCATAAGCCAGGAGTTCTAAGTAATAATTGTTTTCTAAATTTCTTGTCAGTTTTAAAGGATGTGAGTTTTTTTGTATTTCTTCAAGAGAAAGTCTGAATACGCCAGTCGTTGCTTGAAATTTTCTGTTACGCCAACACGCAGTGTTTAATATTTGATTACTGCTTAGTGCCTGCAATGGGGTGACGTTTTAGTGAGTTTGATTCAGGTAGAAGGTTGGCCTGTTTTGACTTTCAATTAGCAGTTTGCAGTATTTTGCTCTTTCCTGTTCAAATTTAAATTCTTTATACGAAGCTTTAATGTCACTGAGGTTTAGTTCACATATAAGGGTTTAACGAGCTTTTATTGAAAACTTGTTTTGCTTAATTGATATTGATATGCTGGAATGCTTTTGCTTTTTGTGATCTAAGATTTTGTATCGTTTGTCTTTGCTGTCAAATTGACATCGCAGTTTGTAATTAATTTGATAATAAAAGTGAGCTTTGATTAGTAGTGCTGGATTAAACTATTTTCTTTCCACCCTCACGCACTACTCTACAGCATTAAATGGGCTTTTGAATTTATCTATTTTACACATTTAACTGCGTTTACCACTAGGCAGTTTTGAAACATTATTGTTTAAAAATTGTTTGCTACTACTCACCCCAGTTTTTCTTTTTTTTTTTTTGGTCAACATCTCCAGCTTTGTCTCGAAACTGTTAGAAATCCGTTTTTTTATTTTTTATTCTAGCTAGCACTGTACCAGTCTTCAACACATATTTAGGTGTTGTTTATTAAAATTGAAATGTTTTAGCTGGTTTCATTTCGTGAACTGTTGTCTCGTATTTTGCAGCATTTTAAAGTCAGACATAGGTTTTTATACTTCTTTTTTGAAAATTATTTAAACAGGTTTTTTTTAACGCTTATTTCAATATGCGTCTGCTGTATAGGTTCAAAACAAAAGTGATTGAAAATAAAAGAGATAATGGTCAACTAAAAAAGCACATTATTGTTTCTTCTTTTCCTTTCAAGGGACTCGTCTTTTGAGAATTGATTCAACACTTCAAGTATATCTAACGTTTCACGCATTTGATGAGAGTGGGGCTCTTTACTAACTTACAAAACGACCAAATTTTTATTTTAATAACGAAGAGCATTTATTTGGGTTTTTTTCTGAAGCGGAATACCTGTTTACTTGAGCGTTCTTATCCTTTAACTGTCTTACGATCCTCGCCATTTGAATATACACTTTTCGCTCTTACTGAAGTTTAGATGGAAGGATTATGTGGTGGAATGCTGAAAAAGTTCTTAAAAAGTGTAATATTTTAAAAAATTACCTGTGATTTGCAGCTCCTGAAATACTTGAAACCTTTTAACAGAGCTTGAAACGATAATTGTTAAAGTCACTACTTTTTAATTATTGAATGTTGGGTATCAAAAAAGTTCTTGATCAGTGTTCCGTGAGACGGTTGAATGATCAAAATTTTTCATCTGTTTTGGATTTTTAAAGTTTTTCTGGCATTCAGAGAAAGCAAAAAGTCATTGTTTTGAATTGTGAAAAACAGTAGAAACTTTTCAGGATTTTTGAATTTTTGAGTTTGGAGTTCTGAAAAAGTGAAGCTGCTTTTGTTTGATGAGGAAAAACATCTACTAGCTTTGAAATTTTCCTTAATTTACTATTTTCTGTTGAGAATTATTTGGAGTTGTATGTAAATTTATTGTAGCTTATCAGGACTGCTCTCTTTGACGGACCTAATTTTGTGAATAATTCTTTGAACTTTGTTTTTGAAAGAGCTGCTGGCACCCTGTTGCATGCAAAGTTATTTTTCGCTAAACTATTATGGATTCTGAAAAGTGAACAAAATTAAAAACGCTGAGTACATAGCTCGCAGTTGTATTCAAACGTTTCTGACGCAAACAATTATTTAACACTCGTTTCTTTCTTTACTGTTGTTTTTCGGAAAAAAATGATCGACATTGGCACATAAATTTAATGCTTCTTCTGCCTCAGTGCATGAAATAGCCACTTCAGAAATTGATACCTAAACAGTAAGAAGTGCCAGCAGGTTTATTCAATGTACGCAAATTTCTTAATACAACGTTTTATTATTCTTCGGTCACTTGACAACATCACTCGCTGTTACCACTGCTTTTGCTTAAACTTTCCAAAGCAAGTTTGCCGAAAAAATTGTAAACTTTATTGCTGGTAACATAAAACTTTAAAGACAGTTGCTGGTTAGTCGGAAGCAAATTTTGTTGACCATAAAGTGGTTTGTTTTTTACTCGATAAAGCTTAAACGGTTGTTAGTTGAGTCAAACTAAGCATTTAATCAGATGGTACAAGTTTTGGAAATTTTTTTTTATCAAAGAGTTATGCCCAAAATAAGCTTGTTTTTAGGCAGTATTAGCAGATTTAACGTCATTAATTGACTTTAATGTGCGATCATTTTAGTTTTTTTGCTAATTATTACAGAAAAAATTTATCTGTTCTACAGTACTACTGTGGTTCACTACTTTAAAAATTTTCTTAAGTTGTCTAGATTTAATTTTTTTAAAAAAGTTGATCTTCTTGAGCTGTAAAATTTGCTTTCTATTTGTTTGAAAATAAGTTTACAAAATTTTTAAGCGTTAGTATCTATTGGAATAGTTAAATTTGTAACAAAAAGCACAAAGTTGTGAAATTTTAGGTATTTTAACAAATGAAAAGAACCGATTTTGCTTGATGCTTATGATTTATGTATAGGCTTAGATAACGACTGTCATCAAATAATTTTCATTACCAAACAAAATAGCCTTATTTTTTTCATTTCTGTTTTTGCATCAGTTCCGCCAGATCTCTGCTGTTTTAAATCAGTGCTATCTAGTGCACTTTAGTCTACAATTATAGCGTTTAAATTTTTTGCTTTGAAGCCTAAATTAATTGATTAAAGTCGTGAAGGATCGGAATTTTTTCGGTACCTTTGGGTTAGGGAAACGTTTTACCAGCAGCAACCTGCGAATAAGTTCGCAGTCGCTTGGACGTTGGTCAGTACTAAATCGATAACAAAATGTTAAGATGCAGTATGTTTAAACCTCGAGATATTCAAAACAATTTACACAAGATTTTTTAGCTTATCAAGCGAGACCAGTAGTATACAGTTTTTCATCTGATGTATTGTTGCATAGTGTTACAAATGTTTAATATTCATGTACAAGTTTAGAAGAGGATCATCGTTTATATTTTGGGTAAATTTGTGCCATAAATGGTTACCATCTCAATTACACCGTTTTTTTCCAGCACTTTTATCAAAATTCTGCTATAGTTTTCAACATTGAAAAATGCATAATTGTACAAGAAACCTTAATAAATTTTCAAAAATTGTCTGTATTCGTCAGCTCTAAAGCACTGCACAGTCGTTAAGATCTTCACTTTTTCAGTGGTCTCGAAATAATTTTGTGCAAAATTATGAGCCATTTGTTGTGTATTTATATTATATTTTTCTTTATTCAAATAATGACAGATAGGGGAAGTGTATCAATAAGGTTGTACTAATTCATGACAGATGATTATGTCAGGTGGTCATTGTACATTTTCTGAGAGTAGTTTTATAGGGATAGGTAAGGGGTTGAAATTATGAAATTTTTTCAATTTATTATTCGTACTTCAGACTGATTGTATGTGGGCATTGTATTAATGAAGAAAACAGTATCAGACAGGGGTTTAATTAGCATTGTCATTACGGTAACAATCGCTAGTTAGCAGTTAAAATGCCAGCGCTTCTTTATGATATCAAAGTATTGCATTATCATGCTTCATAGGAAGTTGTATTTAAGGTCAAAAAACAACTTCATTTATGATAACGGATTTCTAATAATTAGTCGAGAGAAGAATTCTCTTCTCACGTTTTTTATTCTCTTTATTCTTCAAAACAGTACTGTTTAGGAGCGTTTGAAATTCTTCAGTTTGAATTGAAGCTGAACAA